GCCTTCAAGTCATGTCTCTGATATTTGTAAGCTAGAGAGATTGCAGTGTGTGCATGGAGTAAAATTTTAAAAGTACATCCTTGTGTGTAATGTCTCTCAGGCTCTTGTGTCAGGACTTTGTGCTACACTGCATATTTACTAAACCAGAACCCCAAGGCGCGTGTGATGTGCAATTCTGTTTTTACTGGAGTCAACGTCACACTTTTGACCAACACAGCTCCAGAGCCGGTGATAAAGATAAGAGATTAAACCATCCTAGATACAGTTTATCCAGTTTTAAGAGTACAGATTGTAGTGATATGATGAAAAATCAGTCATTTCACTTAACGAGGGGAAACTCAGGGTGATATACTGAGAAAATCACCACTGTAGTCAGATTTTTTGAAAAGGAACCAGTTGGATGTTCTTATTCACTTGTTACAGGCTGAAGTTGGCTTCATATTCACCAGCTTCTTATTCGATGTTTCCGTTCCACCTTAAGAGATGCAGCAGTTAACTTAATGGAGCGCTGGCGCCATAATGCAATTGCAGCGCCATTCAAGGTGGAATGGGAATTTGAAGAAAAAAAAAAAAAAGCTTGCCAATCTTTTCCATTCTCTTTTCCACAATACTCTGTTGGCAGTCTGAACATAACCTTTGAACAAGTTAAGTAAGGGGTGGGGCAGCTTGTTGGATACAAGTTGGAACTAAACTCTGCAGGAAGGTACCGCTCAATCAAGATCTCTGCTGTGTCTCTGAGAGTCTTAAAGCTAAAGTTTCAGCACTTATAAAGTGAATTTCTGGATCAAATGTTGCTCTATTTAGGGTGTGATTTTATGACTTTACAGACGTTATGCTAAATATTTATGTCTACAGCTCCTGCTAAATGGTCACTGCTACAGCTCTGTGTGTGTGAAGTGTTGGTCTTGTGACTGACTAAAGTAGCATAAATTTAGTTGTTCTAAATGCTGATTGTGTTAGATTAGCACATCTCACACATGCTTGTGTTACGACCCCACACTGCACAGTAACAGGTGCCATTTAAAATACTGATCCAGTGATGAAGATAAAAGCATACAGAACATACAATTAAGAGCTCTTTATTAAAACCAACCACAATAAAAAGGATGTACTATAATATCTAATACCACACTGGAAGAGTCAAACTGTGGACAGCACCAAAGAAAAGAAAAGAACAAAACCACACTTGCCTACTCAAACAATCTCTTTAAAAAAAAAAAAAGGTAAAAATGTGCAGGTACAATATTAAACTAAAGTACTCCCAACACAAGAGACCAGCTCAAGTAAACCAAGTTGAAGGGAACACAGGTAAAATATCTAAAACCACATAATCTTAAAACACAGACTAAACCACAGCACACATGATATATTTATTAAACTCCTCTCTGTTCAGCCAACTTGGACACCTCCTTTTAAGGCTCCTCCCCAGTTACACCAGCCAGAAATTTGATTGGTCAGAGGCCCTGATGGCAGAAAGCAGGCACACCTGTGATGGGAGAAACCAGGAGAAAGAAAAAGAAGTGAGAGAGAGAGAAAGAGATAGAGACAGAGAGAGAGAGACCAAAACCAAAATATGCACTTGCAGGTAACATTTGTCTTCTGATTTCCTTTTTGAAATACGCTTTTATAGGACATTTTGCATTAATTTTATAATAAACCAATAAATGCTTTAATTATCTGCATTAAAAATAATAGGACACCTCAACAGCTGAAAGTTGTTGAAAGGTTAACTTTATCTACATTAGGGGTCTCTGACCTTTTCAGTGGGGGTCTCTGACCTTTTATTTTAATGCTGAAAGAACAAGAACACTGATTTTGTGTGTTTCCAACAAGAGTACTTTGGAGTGATTGTTGAAAATAAATCCTGGAGCTTAGACATCTTAATTACAGACCTTATAATCAAATAATGCTTTAATCAAACACCAGGAATTCACAAACACAAAACAATTTAATTACAATCCATTAATTATTCTTAAATACAGATAAAAATGTTTCTATGGAGAGGAGGAAAACTCAGTAGAAAACAATCTGAAAAACAATTTTTTTCTAAAGTAAAATAAACTAACAGAAATATAAAAACATCTAAAGGTTAATTGCACTTCAATGAAAATGTCATTAGTGACACACAGAAATCCAAACAAGCTTTTCAACAAGGCAGAGACTACAAAGAGCAGCAACACGTCAAACACTTGTAAAAACAACCATTGTTGTAGCTGAAATACTGAACAACCTCTTTCATGATGTGATCCAAACAGTGAGTTACTTTGTCCTTAGGTAAGTTTATATGTAGATACCTGGCTAGCTCAGAGTGAATGTCTGGTAAATATCTTGATGATGTTCTGGTGATACATTAGTTACATTAAAAACCTAATCCTAACCTTCACCCTGCCCCTAATCCTAATGCTAACCTTAAGCTCATTGTAAAAGCTTATCCTAACCCTGCCCCTAATCCTAAACCTTACCCTGCCCCTAATCCTAAACCTTACCCTGTCCCTAATCCTAATCTTAACCTCAACCCGAAACATGGTGGAATGAACTCCCACTGGCTGTCCGAACAGCAGAGTCTCTTGCTGTCTTCAAACGCAGACTGAAGACACATCTGTTTATACAGCACTTAAATGAGCACTGAGTTAAGTATTGATTGTAAAGTATTGTACTGCACTTATGTATTGTATTGTATTGCACTGTTCTGTGTTTAACTCTGTTCCTTTTTCTCTAGGTGTCAATAATGACTTTCTGATTCTAGCAGTATCTGAGCTCAGGACTGACTTTCTCTCTAACCTATTGGTAACTAGCGAAGATTCTTTCTCTGGATAGACAAAGCACTTTTTGTAGGTCGCTCTGAATAAGAGCGTCTGCTAAATGCTGTAAATGTAAAATGTAAATGTAAATGTCTGTATCAGCTTGTTGAGGATGTTGATGGTCTGTATTAAACCTGTTAATGTTCAGTTCCTCTCAGTTAAACATCTACAGATCTGAACTTGGACACAACTGAATTCAGCAGATTATAGATTATATCTGTTCATCACCGGCTCTGACACTGTCGGTTAACATGAAGTGCAGGAGTGATTATGATTCAAGCAGCAGGAATCGAGAGTCAGAGTCGACTCCAGAACCACAGAACCACTCATACAGTCATATTCAAAAGTTTGTGCACCCCTGGTCAAATTCCATGTTGTTGTTCATTGTCTAAGAGTAAATAAGTTAACATTCTCCACTGTGAACACACGTCTGCACAGATTAATGATCAGTTACTGTTTATTTACTGAACTAAACACATTGGAGATGAATAAAACAAAATGTGGCCTGTAAGTTACAGCAAATGTTTATTCTTTCAGTATGTTAAACTCAGTAAGTAGAAACTGCTCTAAAATGCCATATTTAAGGTTATTCTCTGTAGAGGATGTGATGACTTGTGTGATGTCATTTGACCGGCAGTACCGAAAGCTTTGCATGTGTTTCCCACACATAGGCTTTACTCAGTCGCCCCCCCTCACCTCCCAAGTATATTGACCACCACCCAAATTTATTTTCCATTTTATATACATCATTACAATAAATGTTACGTACTGTTTACTTTGAATAACTTGATTGATTTGCAGTATCAGCTACTTGTTTCAGAAACTATATATATATACTGTATACACTCCCAGAATGACATCACTGCATCACTGCATCATTACCCACGAACCACACCCCCACCCCCTCCCCCCAGTTAATGCCTCACAGCCACAATATATTTTAAACCTGTGCAGTGTCTGTCATGATGGCCACATTAACCAAACAGATGAAGGTGTTTAACACTTTACTAGCAGCAGTTTAAACATCCTGCTGTGCTCTGTTTTATTGGAGTCTTGGTTTTGAAAGCCCTGCTTTCTACAGGTTATTTAAGCTGGTTTTAACTCTACACTCAGACTCTTACTGTGTAAAACCATTTTTAAAGATGGTGTTCGCTGCTGTTCAGAAGTTTAAACATGAACAAACGTAGCCTTCATGAGATTCTCTGGGATGACCAAAATAAAGACGTCTGCTTTTGCTAAATAGACACAGCAGCAGCAGCTCTGTGTGTGAGAAGTGTTGGTCATGTGGTTGAAATTCTGATGGTGTAAGATAAGCTTATCTCACACACGTTTGTCTGTTCTATCACCAGTTTTCAATAGTTTTTTTTTACTAGAAAAATCCTAAATTTTCAGTTTCTGCTGCCTTTAAACTTTAAAAAATATTTTAAATGATCTTTGCATTCGTTTTATAAAAAACAATAAAAGCTTAAATTTCCTGCATTAAAAAATTCCTGGAGACTTCAGGATCTGAAAGCTCGTCTGTGTGAAGGTATGATTTCTCACTGGCTGAACTTCAACAGACACTTCATTACATGGAGACACTTTAGAGCAGAGTAAAACAGCTGCACACAGTACCAATGTGGTCCGGCCCATTTTCCTTCTCAAATACAGTCACATGCAAAAGTTTGGGCACCCTGGTCATATTCCATGTTGTTGTTCATTGTTGTGAATAAGTTGCACATCCTCTACAGAGACACACATCTGCACATTATAATACACAGTTACTGTTTATTTACTGAATTTAACATCTTGGAGGAAAATAAAACATAAAATGTGACCTGTGCAAAAGTTACAGCACAAAGTTAAACTCAGGAAATAAATAGAAACTGTACTGTAACAGTGAGAGTGCAGTGTTTATGATGGCCACCAAACAGATGAAGGTGTTTGAAGTTTAATATCAGGACACAGGAGAGTCCAAACCTGATAGAACATCATCAACCCTTTCTGTAGATAAAAGGACAGAAATAGAGCAGTTTAGAAGAGGAGCTTCATCTCATATCACTGCTATCATAACTAACCCTTTCCTCTCTGAAGTGGCAGCGTTTTTGGACTTTAATGTATGTCAGTAGGTTTTGATCTGACAGTGATGAGATGATCCTCACAAAGAAGAACAGAAATAAAATAATCATCACACTCAGACGTCTTTCTGAGAGCGTTGAGTGAAAAAGGAAGTGACTCTGAGCTGAAAGGGGAGGAGTGACGACAGAACACACAATGCAGATCACGTCTTCAGTGTCTTTGCTGACTTTCTCTCTGCTGAGATCAGAACAGTTCATAAGTGTAGGAGAGTCAGAGTGAGGAGCTTCTGGACCTTCTGGACCTTCAGGTATCCGCTGTGTTTGAAGAGTGATGCTGCCATGTTTTCCCAGAGCTCAGCAAATATTACAGCAGCACTGATCCTCATTTTACTGGCAGGTAAACTTTACATTTATTTACATTTCTGCTCTTAATGTGTTTGTGTTCCACAGCGCTGATCTACATCTGTGTCAGATTAACGTGTAGAGACTAAAAATCCTTCAACATATAACAGTTACAGTGTGTTTCAGAACATTTTAATACATTTGACACGATTCAGTCATTCAGACAGCAGAGCATATTCTGAAATTATAACCTCTGGTCAGACACGGATTAGGCAGCTCTGTTCATTCATCCGTGGAACGAGCTTTTTTCCCACCGTGGAATGAGTCGAAAAAACTTCAGCAGAAAAGCTCCACTCGTCTTTTCATTTTGTTCAGGTGTTTTCACGCTGCAGCGGCTAAAGTGCACCAAATCACACACGTGTTCATTTACCGTCAGATATTTTACAGGGTCCTTACTCTCTTACACTCTCACATCTGCCACCATGAAAAGCAGAAAACAGAGACACTTACTGTCTACGTTTATCACAAGCAATAATGATAAATCTATTGATTTCTGCTTCTTTATGATTGTTTACCACTATATTAGTCATATGTTTACCTGCTCGGGGACTACTTATGGAAATTAGCTTTTAGCTAACTCTTGTGTGAAGCTTTTCTTCTCTTTTGAGATGAATGTATTTTATACAGAGTCCTTGACAAAATAAACATAATGAACTAAACACAACTTGAATTTAACCAGCCAGGTTGCTGACGCTAGGCCTAAATATATCCTGTGATCCAAGTTCCAAAATTAAATTAAATCTTAGCTATTTGTGTTGCTCTGATGTTATTCACAGCAGTTTTTGCTGCAATATGAATGTTTGCAAAGAGTAAAATGTTAAACAGGCAGGCAGTAAAACGCTAATATGCACTGAGAAAAACACTCTGGGGTTCTCTCAAATGATTCGTATGAGCTCGTCTCACCAGCAGCAAACTAAAGCAAAGGTCGCTGGACACATTCCAGACACCTGAAAATGTCAGGGGACTCATATATAAAACACACTTTAATTTATTAAAAAAAAAATGTTCTTAAGATCAGTTCTGAACATTTGCGTACGATATGTCACTTTAAATGGGACATCCACCAATTTATCAAAACTTCTGCAAAACTTAATCATTAGGTCATTCAGTGTGGTTTGGTGTGAAATGGTTCAGATGTCTTTACCGTGGTGGTGATAGGAACCAGAGGTCGCCATGACTACAACACAAATATAGACATTTTGTTTACTATCCAGAACCACCAGTGAACCTACACGAGTCTTCTTCATATGAGATTTATATGTAGTGTTCATGTTTGTAAAATATTGGAAAATCTGAAACGTAATATTCAAAAATTCACAAACATTCAACAGCAAATTCAAAAATTCTCTGTAAGTTTATCTAGAACAGAGCGTTTCACACCAAACCACTCTGAATGACTCTGTTTACATCTTAACCACCTAATTATTCATACGTTTTGAAATAAATGGTAAAATTCTCCTTTAACATTGTGATGTTTATCACACACAAAAGCAGATTAGTTTATGATGTAGAAACGTTGTGGGCTTCTTTTCATGCTAAAAAACCTGGTGAGAGACATGTATGGAAAATAAACAGGAGGTTAAATAAAGCACACAGAAGATCGGAGAGAAAGAGAGAATGTTCAGTGCTAAATGCAGGTTTTTTAGTTTGTTCCCCCCTGTAAGGGAAGTTCACCACAGCGCAGCTCTGTGGTTCTGATAAAACGTGAGCAGTAAACTCACATGAAAGAGAGAATTCTAATGAGAAACAGTGTGTTTACTATTAACTATTAACTTGGAACAGATTGACCTGAAATGTGCTAAAAGTGATAAATGTCACTTTTCCTCCACAGCTTCTTCCACTACTGTTTACTGCTGATAACCTTATCAACTGGGTGCACACCAGCACACAAATAAGACCGTTATACATCAGCTGTGTAGATTTATCTTGTTGGGGGGTTTCCTGCTGAAATCTTTCCTCTCTGGTTTTTATTTGATTATTACTTACGTGACTGTAAAAAGAGATGTAATCCAAAAGTAACGTTACACACACACACACACCCACACACACACACACACACCCACACACACACACACACACACACTCACACACACAGACACACACACACACTCACACACACACACAGACACACACACACACACACACACACTCACACACACACACACACACACACACACTCACACTCACACACACAGACACACACACACACACACACACTCACACACACTCACACACACACACACACTCACACACACACACACACACACACACTCACACTCACACACACACACACCCACCCACTCACCCACACACACACACACCCACACACTCACACACACACACACACACCCACCCACCCACACACACACACACCCACTCACACTCACACACACACTCACACACACTCACACACACACACTCACACACACACACACACACCCACCCACCCACACACACACACACACACTCACACTCACACACACACACACTCACACACACACTCACACACACACACACACACTCACACACACATTCACACACTCACACACACACCCACACACACACCCACACACACACACACACACACTCACACACACACACACACACTCACACACACACTCACACACACACCCACACACATCATTAACACCTGTTAGCTCTGTACACAAGCTGCAGCAGATGCAGTAGAGGATTTATAATAGCCTTCAGGTGGGCTACGATCAGGCATTCAAAGACCTTCACGACTACAGAGGTTAGGGCTACTGACCTGTAGTCATTTAATCCAGTGCTGTTCATTTTTCTTGAGGACTGGAATGATTACAGATGTTTTGAAGAACAAAGGAACAGAGCAGAGTTCCAGGGATTTGAAGTTTCTGCTAGTGGGTCACAGCAGTGCTGTAGGGTGGATGGAGAGACTCCGTCTGGCCCTGGACCTTTTTGCACCTTCTATCTGCCGAAAAGCATCTTAATGTCCTTCATGTTGATGGGGAGATGAGTGGGTGGGGGGTGGCAGAGGTGAAAGAGGCAGGGTGGGAAAGGAGCGCAGGGGACTGGCATGATTGACTACTGTGATTTTGACCGAACCGTCACTCACCCTGGACACTCTCAAAGTGTCCTAACCTGGCTAAGGTCAGAGGTCACCTGTGCTCAGTGCAGTATCCTGTCCTCAGGCCCCTTGTCTTCCTCTCTCTGCAGGGTCGTTGGCTCAGCGTGTGAAGGTTCAGCCGGAGGTGGTTTCGTATCCGGGTCAAGTCGTATCCCTGCGTTGCCAGTTTCCTGATCCAGGCCAAACTCAGCTCACACAGGTCAGAGGTCACCTCACCATAATCAGTCCAGTAGCTCACAAAAACACGGACACAACAGGCAGCTGGTCTCTGTGTAGATAATTAATGCACCTATTGATCACCGGTCAGTGACCAGACGAGTGTAGAGCAGGGCTATCATGGTGTTCTTTGGTTTTTGATTTGTTTAATTTGTCAGTTTTAAAGGTGAATGAATAGTTTTGGTTTAATATTTTTTTTTTGAAAAGTGATAGTTTTAGTTTAGTATTTATTTATTTTAAGTTTTAGTTTCTGAAACAGCCTGTTTTGAATTCGATGTCCCTTTGATGTCATAAACACATTTCCACTTATCCACCTCTATTTCCAATGAGGAGCAACACAGAGCAGCCAATCAGAACAGAGCTCTTTTACACATATCAGTCTTAAAAGCATGGCAATCAAAACAGCCTGTTTAACTCTGAGGGATGAAGAGGTTTAACAGTGGCCATGTAAAAATTAACGATGACTTTTTTGTACATGAGCTTTATGAGTCGACCTCAAGGGAAAAAATAAGTAGCAAAATTTGTAGGATGTGGCTCCTTAATTGAAATAATGACTTCAGTAAAAGTACTTCTTCAAAAGAAAATATTTGAATGCAAGTACAAAGAAAATTTTGTATTGGTCAATTATAGAAAATCACCAGTATAGTTGAAAAAGTTTTTTTTTTCCTTTAGTTATATTGTTTTCTTTAGTTATAGTCAGTAATGAGAAAAAAACTACCTGCCTGCTTTGAAATCACTGACTAATTGTTGACTTATGCCATTTATCATAATTATCATTTTTTGTGATTTTGCCAAAATATTTATAGCAACATGCAGATAAAGTGCCAGTTAAACTGAATCTCTAACCTGAATATGTCTGATTTTATTATTCCTGTTAATAATATTAATATCATTAATAATATCAATGTTAAAAATATGCTTAGCTATATGGCAGATGAGGGTCACCCTTAATGTACTCTGAGTTTAAATAAAGGCTGGTTGGCTGATTTATGTGATATGATTTGTGCTTTAATATGAACACATCAGTATGATGAGTGTAATTGTAGGCGTGGTTTGTTTACAGTGTTTAGTGCAAATTGCTGTATGTGAGCTTCAGCCACCTGACAGAAACTTCTCAGTACATCCAGCATCGATCAGCACAGAACCTGAAGTCAGTTACACTCTGTTCTTCTCTTCTTGATGAACCTTTAGACTAATATGAGATGCTAAATCTCAAAGGTCAGAGGTTTGACCAATCACAAAGCACTGACCTGCGTAACAGAGTTAAACACAAAAGAGGGATCAGTGACTAAAGCAAAGAGATAAAATGGAACTAAGGAAAAAGATTAAGTTTCTTCCTAATATGTCTGAAAGAAAAGTGTGTCTGTTTTATAGATGATTTAATGTTTATACTGATATTTTGTCTCTGTTTGTGTTTTCTCTCTTTCTGTGCTGTAGGTGTCCTGGATTTTCGAAACAGCTGCTGGTGTCCGAACCAGCATTGCAGTGTTTCACCCAAACTTTGGAATTAATTACTCCAAGTCCCCGGTGACTGGCCGCGTTAGTTTCACGATCGACCCGCCCCAACTGGAGAATCCAACCATTCAGATCACAGACATGAAGTTAACCGATGAGGGAAAGTATATCTGTGAATACGCCACTTACCCCAGTGGAAACGAGCAGGGCGTCACCAACCTCGTCATACTAGGTGAGCAGTAGGCAAGACTGTGTGTGTCTGTGATAAATTTACTACAAGAGGTGTAAACTGTGATTGATTACAATAATATTCAATGTGCTGATTATAATAATATTCAATGTGCTGATTATAATAATATTCAGTGTGCTGATTATAATAATACTCAATGTGCTGATTATAATAATATTCAATGTGCTGATTATAATAATATTCAGTGTGCTGATTATAATAATACTCAATGTGCTGATTATAATAATATTCAATGTGCTGATTATAATAATATTCAGGGTGCTGATTATAATAATATTCAATGTGCTGATTATAATAATATTCAGTGTGCTGATTACAGTAATATTCAATGTTCTGATTATGATAATATTCAATGTGCTGATTATAATAATATTCAGTGTGCTGATTACAGTAATATTCTATGCGCTGATTATAATAATATTCAATGTGCTGATTACAGTAATATTCTATGTGCTGATTACAATAATATTCAGTGTGCTGATTATAATAATACTCAATGTGCTGGTTACGATAATATTCAATGTGCTGATTACGATAATATTCAATGTGCTGATTATGATAATATTCAGTGTGCTGATTATAATAATATTCAATGTGCTGATTACAATAATATTCAATGTGCTGATTATAATAATATTCAATGTGCTGATTATAATAATATTCAGTGTGCTGATTATAATAATTTAGTGTGCTGATTATAATAATATTCAATGTTCTGATTTATAACAATATTTAATGTGCTGATTATGATAATATTCAATGTGCTGGTTATAATAATATTCAATGTGCTGATTACAATAATATTCAATGTGCTGATTATAATAATATTCAGTGTGCTGATTACAGTAATATTCTATGCGCTGATTATAATAATATTCAATGTGCTGATTACAGTAATATTCTATGTGCTGATTACAATAATATTCAGTGTGCTGATTATAATAATACTCAATGTGCTGGTTACGATAATATTCAATGTGCTGATTACGATAATATTCAATGTGCTGATTATAATAATATTCAATGTGCTGATTATAATAATATTCAGTGTGCTGATTATAATAATTTAGTGTGCTGATTATAATAATATTCAATGTTCTGATTTATAACAATATTTAATGTGCTGATTACGATAATATTCAATGTGCTGATTATGATAATATTCAGTGTGCTGATTATAATAATATTCAATGTGCTGATTACAATAATATTCAATGTGCTGATTATAATAATATTCAATGTGCTGATTATAATAATATTCAGTGTGCTGATTATAATAATTTAGTGTGCTGATTATAATAATATTCAATGTTCTGATTTATAACAATATTTAATGTGCTGATTACGATAATATTCAATGTGCTGATTATAATAATATTCAATGTGCTGATTACAATAATATTCAATGTGCTGATTATAATAATATTCAATGTGCTGATTACAATAATATTCAATGTGCTGATTATGATATTATTCAGTGTGCTGATTATAATAATATTCAGTGTGCTGATTATAATAATTCAGTGTGCTGATCATAATAATATTCAATGTGCTGATTATAATAATATTCAGTGTGCTGATTACAGTAATATTCAATGTGCTGATTACAATAATATTCAATGTGCTGATTATAATAATATTCAATGTGCTGATTATAATAATATTCAGTGTGCTGATTATAATAATTCAGTGTGCTGATTACAATAATATTCAATGTGCTGATTATAATAATATTCAGTTTGCTGATTACAATAATACTCAGTGTGCTGATTATAATAATATTCAATGTGCTGATTATAATAATATTCAATGTGCTGATTATAATAATACTCAATGTGCTGATTATGATAATATTCAACGTGCTGATTATAATAATATTCAATGTGCTGATTATAATAATACTCAATGTGCTGATTATAATAATATTCAGTGTGCTGATTATAATAATATTCAATGTGATGATTATGATGGTTCAATGTGCTGATTATAATAATATTCAATGTGCTCATTTTTATTATCAGAATATCTTCATATGTAAAAAAAAAACAGAAATGGCAAAAAATAGCACGTTTATATAGTCATTTTAAAAAGCTTGTGCATTAAAATGTGCAGAGGTGTGTCTGTGTAGAGGATGTGTTCATGTATTTTCACTCAGAAAATCAACAACACATGTACTTTGACCAGGGGCACCTAAACGTTTACATCCGGCTATTTTTTTATACATAACTGCACAAAGGTATTCAATTTGATGTTAAAAAAATAACAGCATTAATATTAATAAAACATTAATAATATTAATAAAAAATAAGCCATTTATCTGGGCTGTTTTGCCAGTAAGTGTTTTATTTGCTCATAAAAACACTATTTTTTTACATTTTACCATAAATACAATAACATGACTACAACAGTAGTTATTTAAAGGTGCAGTGTGTGAGATTTCGGGGGATCTATAATCAGAAATGAAATAAAGTAACAAAACCATGTGTTCATTGGTGTGTAATCAGCTGTATCTATGAATCATTGTGTTTTCATTAGCTTAGAATGAGCCCTTCATATCTACATAGGTAGCAGCTCCTCTTCAACAGAGGCCACCGTGTTGCTCCGGCATGTTTCTACAGTAGCCCAGAAAGGACAAACCAAACTCTGACTCTAGAGGGCGGCTTTCACGCTTTTACACTGAAGTGGCAGCTTGAATTTTTTGGCGCTGTAGCTCCGACTGGAAGACCTAGAAAGAAGAAGAATCAGTGGAGCTTCCGGTGCTGCTGACCATTTTGTGCTGTGAGAAGTTTGAGTACCCAAATTTAGACAAATGGAGGATCAGACTTATTATTTAGCACCAGAAAAAGTGAGAGAGGGTGAATCCTCAATCAATGAAAACAGGAAGCAAAAAGAAATCAGGACAGACGACGGCAAGAAACCTGCAGGGTTTTACTGCGTAATTAGAAAGGGAGGGGTGTGGGGTTCAGTTGGTCTGCAGCCTCACCACTGTAAATCTTACACACTGCACTTTTATGTATGCCTGTGTTTTTGTTTAACCTTTGTAATCGGTTTGGTTAATCAGTCCTTCATTACGTTAAATCAGGTGCTTGATGGAATGTAACTGTTATAGCTGGAGGTGTCCAGGAGAAATCTGGAACCAAAGTTTGTTCTTCACATTAGCTCACAGGATCAGCTACTACTTTGAAAAATAGAAATACTTGTTACTTTTACTGTGTTTGTTTATTTGTACTTATTCTGATGATAAACAGTGTTTTTACACGTTCAAGCACAGTCTATATGAAAATAAATGGTTTTAAAGAATGTGCCTAAATGCTGTTGAGAATTTTGCATAATACTGTTTTGATAAAACACAGTTCAGCTGTGGCTGACTCCACCTGCTGGTTAGGTCTCCCCATCACACAGTGCTACCAGGCTGAAAGGGTGAAGGTTCTGAGACACGTTAAGCTCCACCACATCCTCCAGCACTGCAGTGTCACTGGGCAGCTCAACACACTTGGAGAAGAACAATAACTGCTAATTCTTTTACTCCAGCTAACAGATGCCTGTGTTGGCTAGCACTGCGCTGAGTCCTGGGGGAGAGGGAGGACCGTCCTACCCACCCAGAGTCTGATTATACTGTCTTGGACTCCCACTGGCGGATGCCTGTGGCACGGCTGGGAACTGCAATTCTCCGAAGTTTAGACGTTTGCACCACTCAGGAGACAAATGTTTGTTTATATTCCACTACAGTCACATTTGCATATTCAGTATATTGTTAAACATAAACATAATTCTGAATCAGACCAAAACTGCCAAAAGCAGCTGAATCATATTAAAACTTCACGGGGCACTGAACTGTTTCCTAAGTTGTCTAATCGAATCGTTGATCAGAGATTTACAGCCATGTTTTGCACCATATATTGTCGTGTATCTTATGTCGCCGTGCCCCTCTCTGTCCTGCTTCAACTGTTTTCAAAAATTATATTGTCAGATTATTTGCGCCGCTGTTTATGTGTATGAAGTTTGGCAGTAACCTTGGCCAGACTCTCGCTGTCCCCCTCTATCTCTGCGCCATTGATCTGCCTGCTTATCACACTGAGAGGCTGCTCCTCTCCTTGGTTCACCGTCTCCCTCACTTTTCTCCCTCACTTTGATGTCTTTCTCCGAGTGGAATACTGGTACAATGTGATGCTGTGGACCGAGCCAAGTGGTCATCTCAGCTTTTTTGGAGGTTTTTTGTCCTCTAACTCTGAATGTAGTCTGTTACAGACTGTTACAGACGCTCCCGTTCGTGTTTTTCGTTTTTTTTTTAACTTTTATTTATCTTTCTAATATTTTACTTATTTGACAAGGCAACTTAGTGAAGCTGTGCCCTCTCGAAACATGCTAGTAGAGAGAGTCTTGGTCTGTTTTTTCATCGTGAAAGTGCTTCTTTCACTCTCCTGGTCCACCGCTGTGCAGCAACATGGCCGCTTTGTTTACACTCGGGATCAGCTGATCGCGCTGAAGCCGGCCGGCCGGCATGGCGACCAGGACAACTAACATCCCCAAAGAGCTTTGGAGACGGACGCACAGGGGATGCAGAGGAGGAACAAAACAGCGCACGGGGAAAGCGAGGGTGAGACGACGGAGGCTTATGGAGAAGAGGGGATATAAACCGCATCTCCCCTCTCTCATCATGGGCAACGTGAGATTGCTGGTTAATAAAATGGACGAGCTAACAGCATTAGCCAGGAGTCAGAGGGAGTACCGGGAGTGTAGTTTAATGTGCTTTTCGGAGACATGGCTACACCAGGACATTCCGGATGACAACGTTTCCATCGATGGCTTTCGGACTATTTGGGCTGACCGGGGCTGCACCCAGAGTGGTACGCGTGAAGGAGGAGGGCTCGCTGTGCTAGTTAGTAACCGCTGGTGTAACCCTGGTCATATTACCATCATGGAACGTGCCCGTTGCCTGGACATTGAGCTGTTGGCTGTTGGATTGGGCCATATTATTTACTGCGGGAGTTCTCCCATGTTATTATCGTGACTGTTTACGTTCCCCCCTCTGCCAAACCAACGTCGGCTTGTGACATCATTCATTCAACCATAGCGTGTCTCCAAACTCAACACCCGAGTGTCTTTATCGCCATATCGGGTGACTTTAACCACGTCACTATGGCCAAGGCACTACCAAACTTCACTCAGTATGTGGACCCACCAGAGAGGAAAGAACACTGGACCTGCTGTATGCTAATGTTAAGGATGCATACAGCTGCTCCCCCCTCCCCCCTCTGGGTAGGTCAGACCACAACTTGGTGAACCTCAGTCCCTGGTTTGTGCCGCTGGTGAAGAGTCAGCCTGTGACCACACGGACAGTGAGTAGATGGTCTGAGGAGACTTATGAGGCACTGCAGGACTGCTTTGAGGCTACTGATTGGCCGGCACTGAGAGGACATCGACGGGCTCACAGAGTGCATCACGGACTACATTAACTTCTGTGTGGACTCCACTGTCCCAGCCAGAACTGTTAAATGTTACCCAAACAACAAGCCGTGGGTAACAAAGGACATTAAAGCTCCCCTTAACAACAAGAAGAGGGCCTTCAGAGCTGGAGACAGGGAGGAGTTGAGCCTGTGCCTCCCAGCTTTGTGGAGTACTGCACCATGTCTTCAACATGAGCCTGAGTCTCCAGAGGGTCCCTATGATGTGGAAGACGTCCTGCATTGTTCCTGTTCCGAAGACGCCGTGACCCAGTGATGTCAAGGACTACAGGCCAGTGGCACTGACGTCCCACGTCATGAAGACCATGGAGAGGCTCGTCCTGGATCAGCTCCGGTCCATGGTCCAGCCACTTCTGGACCCCCTCCAGTTTGCCTATCAGCCCCATCTGGGAGTTGAGGACGCCATCATCTACCTGCTCAACCGAGTCTACGCTCACCTGGACAAGCCAGCCAGCACTGTGAGGGTCATGTTTTTTTACTTTTCCAGTGCATTTAACACCATTTGGCCTGCTCTTCTGGGTGATAAGCTGACAGTGATGCAAGTAGATGCCCCCCTCGTGTCCTGGATTGTTGACTACCAGACTGGCAGATCACAGTATGTACGCCTGCAGCACTGTGTGTCGGACAGAGTGGTCAGCAATATTGGAGCCCCGCAGGGAACTGTCGTCTCTCCCTTCCTTTTCACCCTCTACACCATAGACTTCAGCTACTGCACAGAGACCAGCCACCTTCTGAAGTTTTCTGATGACTTTGCAATAGTTGGATGTATCAGCAGGGGTGATGAGGACGAGTACAGGGCGACGGTGAAGGACTTTGTCGCATGGTGCGAGCTGAACATGACAAAGACAAAGGAACTGGTGGTGGACCTGAGGAGGGACAAGGCACCGGTGACCCCTGTGTCCATCAGGGGGGTCAGTGTGGACACTGTGGAGGACTACAAATATCAGGGAGTGTATATTGACAATAAACTGGACTGGGCTAAGAACACTGACGCCCTCTACAGGAAGGACCAAAGTCGTCTCTATTTTCTGAGGCGCCTGAGATCCTTCAACATCTGCCGGACTATGCTCAGGATCTTCTATGAGTCTGTGGTGGCGAGTGCTGTCCTCTGTGCTGCTGCATGCTGGGGAAGCAGGCTGAGGGTGGCAGACGCCAACAGACTCAACAAACTGATCCGCAAGGCCGGTGATGTTGTGGGTGTGGAGCTGGACTCGCTGATGGCAGTGTCGGAGAGGAGGATGCTGTCTAAGCTGCAGGCCATGATGGACAATAGCTCCCACCCACTCTACGACACAGTGATGAGTCATAGGAGCACATTCAGTGCAGAACTCATTCTACCACAATGCACCACAGAGCACCACAGGAAGTCATTCTTACCTGTGGCCATCAAACTCTATAACTCCTCCCTCAGTGTGTGACACTAAGGTTCATTTGTGCAATATTCAATACCGAATTGTACTGTTCATATGTATAATAATAATAATAATAATAATAATAATAATGTAATTGTTTTTTAATTGTGTGCAATAACTCAATAATTTGAACTGCTTAATACAGTATGTTTCATATTTATTATCACAGCCACTGCCACTTTACTGTATTCGTAAGAATTTAAACATGAATATATTGCAAATTTCTCTTTTTTGTTTTAAATTATTATTAGTGTTTTGTTATTTTACATAAAGTATCTGTCTCTCTATCTATCTATCTATGAACATGGATTTCTGCTTTGCAACCAGCCAATGAACTCAGAACATGATGTGGCGTAAGTGTAGCATAAAACACAAACTTCATGTTTGTTTTTTAAACATTGAGTCACTTTAGCAGAAAATATGAATAAACATCATCTAGAAGATAAAGAATATTTAAATCCTGCAAGCATGTTGTTGGTGTTTTGTTGGCGTCTTGCGGTGTTGTGTTAATCACTGCTTGCCTTTTTTGGGAGAGTAGCCTGATTTCACACATGCGCAGACTGGGAAGCCAAAAGGAATCAGACTAATGCTAACCACACACTAGAACTAAAGTCTGACACCCTCTCACATCTAAAGACAGTGTCACGGTTTTTAGTCACAGACTATGATTTTGCAAAGGCTAAGAATCTTGCAGTGTCACTATTTACAAGACTGCAACTAGAGTTTAGAGATTATTCCCCATCATGCACCTGGTGGAAATTTACAAGCAGTTCCTTCCACTCTATAGTGGTGCAGATGGGAAGATACGTTGGCTGGGTGTGTAAAGATCTGGGGCTCAGCCCAGTTCACTGTAGAGCTGTTTACTCTGGCAGATCATCACCCAGAATCTTTTAATTAACCTGTAAAATGTGATGATTCTTCATTGATGATTCTTCAATAAAGCCGTTCCTGAAGTCGTCTACACATTTCCTTACATCACCGTTACACTCAGTGAACCTGAAATATTAAAGCAGTCAGTTTACATTTTAAGTTAATATGGAGCAGATTTGCCTTTTTACAGAGATTCCAGGCTCTCACGCATTTTCTCCCTTGCTCTCTCTCTCTATCGCGCCGTGCGCCTGCGCTCGCCCTCTCGCGCGCCCCTGGCACGTCACTATTTGCATGAGCCAAGACTTAAAAACGTGTGATAATATTAAACATAGTTGATTCTGTCGCAGCGTCAAGACGAGAAAACGACTGACGTAATACGGCCGTCCTGACCAGCTCACACTAAACGATCGAGATGTCGCGAGCGTGTTTAAACCATTCACTGTATATAGTTCCAAACTGCACACTCTCATACTAAACACTATGTCTAATCAGTTCACCAACAGTGGTGCATTCAGCAATGTAGTATTTTGATTTGGCACGATTTTGAAGGTGGCTGCTTCGCTCCTGAGTGGTGCAGCCGTCTAAGCTTGGCTCATCAGGTGATCGCGAGCCTCATCCTCGCTGATGCCACAGCCATTCATGACTACGAGTCCAAGATGTTATAATTGTCTTCCCTCTCTGGGTGAGTAGTGTGAACCGAGCTGGGCGTCTGTCAGCTGACGTAACAGAATTAGCAGTCAGCGTTCTCCTTCAGACGTGTTGAGCTGTTTCTGTTGGTTTAGCAGTTTGAAAAGGTGTAGTGGAGCTTCACGTCTCAGAGGAAGCTTGTAGACGACTGATTCTACTGTTTTTAGCTACACAGTGTACTTCTGTCCATTTTTACAGAGAACTGTACATCAGAAACTACATTAGTTGCAACTCTACTTCATCATCCATCATCTAATCTCTTTCTTTCTGTTCCAGCCAAGCCCTCAAACACCGCCTCCACAGTCACTGTACAGGCTGGCACAGCCCCGGTCATTGTGGCCCGCTGCGAGTCGGTCAACGGGCGTCCGCCAGCCACCATCTCCTGGGTGACTTCAGTGGGGGGCAACGGAACTACCCCAACGGAGATGGATAACTTGGACAACACGGTGACGGTGAAGAGCGAGTACTGGTTGGTGCCGACTCCAGCTGACAATGGCAGAGACATCAGCTGCGAGGTGTCACACCGGACACTGACCAGCCCAGAGACTTTCCCCATGAAGCTGGTGATTGAATGTATGTCACAGCTCAGAGCACGAGTCTCAAAAGCCTCATTATGTCCAGATCACTGCCTGACTGTTACTGTAGACACTCTGGTAAACTCGAGCGACTCAGGAGGGAAACAGGAGCATGTTTTTCACTGGAACCAATACAAATGTATTCCACTCTAAAGGCTATTGAGCTCATTGACAGTCAGGAACCTGCAGAGCTGCTGCACTGGATTAGCTTGTGCTCTGCCTCAGGGCTAATGTGGCTCATGTTGTGCTAGTTAATGTTAAAATAATAAAACCTTTATGCTGGCAGCACATAGTTAACCTTTACCCTTTCTACAACCCCCCCCTCCTCTTTTCTCTCAGATCCTCCTCAGGTGCAGATTGTGGGGTATGACAGTAACTGGTATTTAGGACGCACAAATGCAGTGCTGACCTGCCAGGCTCAGGGGAACCCTCCCCCCACCATCACCTGGAGAACGTGAGTATTTCCTGTGCAAACGCCTCAGGACCATCTACCGCTGCCCAATGAGCTCCCTTCAGTGGGCTCTATCAGTGTTTTTAATGATTTCCCATTAGCCTCTATTAGTTTCCATTAGCCTCCATTAGCCTCCTTTCCAGCCTCCTCGTCTCCTTCCATCTTGCTGACCGTTCCTGGTTTCCATAGTCACTGCTGGACTAAGCTTTATAAGCTTGACCCTCAGGCCTTTTGACGTCACTGTAACCTATAATAAATACACAGCTTATCCTGGCAGCTGGAGTGGTCAGTGGCTGCTACAAGGGCATTGGATTTGATGGAGGCCAGAGGCTTCAAGATCATTCAGGAAGAGATGGAAACCATGTCTCCTGACTGTTCACAGTGCAGTTCCACCCATATTTCAAAATATCTCCATAATTCAGTTAAGATGTTAAGTCATTCAGAGTGGTTTGATGTGAAACGGGTCACTGTAGAGAAACTTACCAACTCAATCACCAACGAATTCTTTACAGTGATGGTGATGGGAACCAGTGGTTATGATGGTTGAACACAAATATAGACATTTACTATCCAAAACCGACCTACATGAAAAAATATGTTTCCTTTGGGGACTGTTTTGCTCATAACACCCTGATAAAATTATGTTTTAATTTACATTTTAGATCATAAAACAATCTCTCAGACATTTTGCTCTGAATGTGTGAACTTTCTGTGATCTGGTTAATTGCTAATTAATTTTTATTGCTCTCTTCAAATCACTTAATTCAGCCTTCTAAGATCTTCAGAATTCAAACGCAGGAACATCATTAAAGGATCAGTTTATGAATCAAGTTATGAATGATTTATTAGTGTGTGATATAGACAGTTTACACAAAGCTACAACAGCGTCCATTACTGAGCTGAACAGCCTCGTAGCTTCAGTGCAAAACTAAAGGAGCAAACTTCAGACTCCAAACACGTCTCAGCTGAGGGGCTACTTTTGGTTTAAGGGGGATTTTTCACTGAAATGGCACTTTAATTAGAGCAGGTCATCTGGTTTTTAGCCAATCAGCTTCCGCTGTTTGTGTGGTTTCTGAGGTTTTTTCTCTTGGTCCCTTTTTCCGTCTCTCTCTCTCTCTCTCTCTCTCTCTCTCTCTCTCTCTCTCTCTCTCTCTCACCCTTTGTTCTGAATTATTCCTCTCGCTCTCATTTCTGTTAATGTTAACTGATCTATTCAAGCTCCTCAAGCGTGTTCTTTCCAGTCTACTGTTGTGAAGTTGGACAAGCTTTGGCAAAAATCTCATTCAACCTAAACTATAATTACATTAAGATGATATTTATGTAAATTTTATGGAGTGAATCTTGTTTTTGTGATGTAATTTCAGGGATTTCTTTACAGGGGGTAATGATGGGAACCAGTGGTCATGATGGTTGCAGCACAAACATAGCCATTTTTTTACCTCCAAAACCACCAATGAACCTGTTTTTGCTTGTAACGCCCTGATAAAAACACATTTTAACCCCAACCCTAATATTTTATCTCAAAACTATCATAAAACAGTTTCTCAGTCATCAGGCAGTGAATTCATAACCATTTCATGTAGGAACTTTCTGTGAGGGAGCTTTTAGAGGTGGACGTCTGGTTCCTATCACTACCACTGTGAACAGTTCTTTCACACCAAACCACTCTGAACCACTTAATTATGCAGAAATTTTGAAAAAATTCAGTGGCGTTCCCCTTTAACTGGAATGCTTTCCTAATAAGAGATTGTAGCTTATCTCAGTCTTTCTTTTCAGCAGATAGAAATTTTTACTTTACCGATCTTTACTGATGGAACTCTCCTCTTCATCCTTACGGTTGTTCAAAGTGTGTATTAAAATAATACCAATGTAACACGCCATCAAAGTAAGAAATCTAATAAAGCTAGTTAAGCTAAAGAGTCTTATCCACCAAAGATATGGATCATATCATTAATGAATATTAATCAGTGATAGATGGAGCCTGATGAATGTTTATTAAAGACATGATCCACATCTTTGGTGCATGAAATCAAGTGTCATATGTGGAATATAAAGACGTTACTGGATTACAGTGTTTTTGATACATAAACACACACAGACGTTGTTATCTGTGGATTTCAGAGGTGAAAAGGTGAAATAAGTAAAAATACAGAAAAGGACTCTTTAACGTTGTTTTGACGTTGCTTTAACGTGCCGTGACAGGACGTCGGGTCTGATGCCGGAGACGGTGCAGGTGAAGGAGAACAAACTGACCGTGCTGAAAGTGGACGAGACGGTGAGCACCACTTTCATCTGTGAGGTCAGGAACGGCGTCAGCACAGGAACAGACCAGGTCACCGTGATGGTCAGGGGTGAGTGAAACCATCCGTATACATGCACTAGGATCACTGTTCACTCTCACATGGCTGAGCTTCAGCTCCACAGAGGAGCTGTGATTGGTCAGGATGCACACAGCACACAGTAAAACACACTGTGATTGGTTGGAGGGCTCATTTGCATATTACAGTTTTCTGTGATTTCAATATTGAAAAGGCCAAAATCACAATAAGTTAATAAATGATATATTGTGCAGCTTTATAGTGTCTTTTGTGAGACGTGGAGCTGAACACCACCAGAAATCGCCCGATATTCTGGGTTTCCACTCCCAGGGGATTGTGGGTAGTGGCGTAAGGCAGTTTGTTGGATCCATACTGTTCTTTTTTTACGTTTACTCATCACTTCATTCGTCCGTCTGTCTCCATATTCTGTGTTTCACCTCTTTCTCTCTGAATGTGTGGACGCTGTTGTTTCTTGGACAGTTTGTTCAGGAACAGCCTTAAAGGAGTAGTTTGTGTGTGAAAGTTATGAGTGTGTGATGATGACAGTTCACACACAGCTAACTGGTGTACAGAGCATACCAGCTAAACCAGCATCGGAGCTTCAGTGCAGTGTGGTCTCTACGTTTTTCTGTCTCTCTCTCTCTCTCTCTCTCTCTCTCTCTCTCTCTGCTTCTCTTTCTCGCTCTTTCTCTCGCTCTCTCTCTCTCTCTCTCTCTCTCTCTCTCCCTCTCTCCCTTCATTCTGACTCATTCCTCTCGCTCTCATTGTTGAAGTGTTAATTGATCTATTTAAGCCCCGCCCTCAAAATATTTTTTTATTGCTCTCTTTAAATCACTTAATTCAGCCTTCTAAGATCTTCAGAATTCAAACGCAGGAACATCATTAAAGGATCAGTTTGTAAAAGTTATGAATGATTTATTAGTGTGTGATGATGACAGTCTACACAAAGCTACAACAGCGTCCATTACTGAGCTGAACAGCCTCGTAGCTTCAGTGCAAAACTAAAGGAGCAAACCTCAGACTCCGAACACGTCTCAGCTGAGGGGCTACTTTTGGTTTAAGGGGGATTTTTCACTGAACTGGCACTTTAATTAGAGCAGGTCATCTGGTTTCCAGCCAATCAGCTTCCACTGTTTGTGTGGTTTCTGAGGTTTTTTCTCTTGTTCCCTTTTTCCGTCTCTCTCTCTCTCTCTCTCTCTCTCTCTCTCTCTCTCTCTCACCCTTTGTTCTGAATTATTCCTCTCGCTCTCATTTCTGTTAATGTTAACTGATCTATTCAAGCTCCTCAAACGTGTTCTTTCCAGTCTACTGTTGTGAAGTTGGACAAGCTTTGGCAAAAATCTCATTCAACCTAAACTATAATTACATTAAGATGATATTTATGTAAATTTTATAGGGTGAATCTTGTTTTTGTGATGTAATTGAGGTTTTTAGGGATAAACATCTGATTGATCTGCTAAGCGATGGCACAGTGAGATATAAATACAGCTGTATCAGTAACGTCAAGCTGCTGTGTTGGACCAGAGTCGTAACTAGCTAACAAAACTGAAGTTGGTGAACAGGCTGTTAAACTCATCAGTCCCACGTTTATACCTAAACACTTCAATTACACAGCCACACAAACTACACCCAGTCTCAATCTCAGCAGTTTGACCTCTGACCTTGAACACACAAAATAAATATTATCTGAAATGAAAAGAAAACTCTAACGTATGTCTGTCAGTAAGAACTGAGTGCTGCACTACAGTCTCTCTCAGGGTTGAATGGGCTTCTTGTCAGTGTTATAGATGGACAGCAGGTTCTCTCTAAACAATAAAGAGGAAGTCAGGTTCCCTAACCTCGACTCACTGATGCACACATGGTTTCTCAGTTTAGTTCTGATTGTAAATCAGATACATAGACATGCTGACTGGAGAAGGACAGTGGGAGGCATGTGGGAGATTCAGAGGAAAGGTTTCGAGTGTGTGTGTGTGTGTGTGTGTGTGTGTGTGTGTGTCTATATACGTATATAAACTCACCAATATATACACCGACTGGCCGGTTCATTAAGTCCTCCTCTTTGTTTCTACACTCACAGTCCACTTTGTCAGCTCCACTGACTGTATAGGAGCAGTCTCTTTAATTACTGACTGACAGAGAGAGAGACTGAATAACTGACAGTATCCAGTGATGAGAGGCTGAAACAGTGAAGGTCACTGCAGTTACAGGAAGAGTGGCTGAGAACAGTGACCTACACTTCAGCTGGTCTTCCACACAGGAGGAGTTTAACACAGACTTACAAACAGAGGCGTACAGAACTGAACACTCTCTGCAGGCTGACTGTCAGAATCAGTGACGGGCATTTCAGTCAAATCTGATCTTCAGTTTGTAATAAAATTCTAATGTCTTTTCTACATGATTTCATCTTCAGTGGTTCAGACTACTGTAACTCTCTACCTGCAGAATCAGCTCTTCTTCCCTTCACAAGAACTCTCGTCTTTCACTCATCCTCGCTCTCATAACCACATTACAGCTGTTCTCCATGATCTCCACTGGCTTCCTGTAAAGCACCGCCTTCACTTCAGAGCTCTGACCGACCTCCCTCCTTCTTACTGTCTGATCTCCTCCTTCACTGTAAACCCAGCTGTTCTCTCTGCTCTTCTTCAGCTGATTTACTGAACATTCCTCCATCCAACCTTCACAGCTTCCAACATTCCCTAGTTCTGCTCCTCGTCTCTGGAACTCTCTTCCTCCACAAGTCCAGCCGTCTAATTCTCTTCATACATTTATTTCAAATCTCAAAATCCCGTCGTTGTTGATGTTGTTGTTGTTGTTATTATTATTATTATCATTATTATTTTTAATGAAACATGTTGGAAAATACTCACACAGTGTGATATATTAAGATGTATTTTATTGTAATAATAAATACTGCCCAGTATATCTTGAGATATACAACCCCGTTTCCAAAAAAGTTGGGATGCTGTGAAAAATGTAAATAAACACAAAAAGCAATGATGTGCAAATCATTTAAACCCTGTATTTCACTGAAAATACTACAAAAACAACATATAAAATGTTGAAACTAAGAAATTTTATTGTTTTTTGAAAAAGCAGCAGCAGCAGCAAGAGACTGAAGAGCTAAAAAGCTTGAGTGTGAGAGACTGAAAAGTCTAGCCAGCTTAAGCCACTGAAAAGTGGCCAGCATAGTTTGGGTTGTTTGGAGTTGGTTTATTTGCTTTGCGTTTATTTGTTAATAAATATGGCTGCTGCAGCACTGAACCCTGCCCCCAGCGTCCTCCTTGAGCCCAGGGTAGCACATGACGTGCTACAAGTAGTTATTTACTTTCACTGTTGTATATGTAAATTTATTCTAAACGTTCGAGAATGTTTTAAGGCTTCCTAATTTCAGTAAAATTATAACTGGACTGAACTGAAGTATAATTTCTCTGTTCTTTTTCCAGGCCTGCATTTTCACACTGATACAGATAACAGGACTTTAGTATATGCAGCTTCTGGAGTCGTCGTGGTTTTGATTCTGATGTTCATTGCTGTCTTTTTGTGGATCAGGTGAGAATCGGAACTCACATAAGACGTTCTGCTCTAATATAAGTAGTGTAATATAGTATATTATATAGTAGTATAATAGAGTATATCAGAGTTGGGAGGGTTACTTTAAACATGTATTCAGTTACAGATTACTGATTACCTGTTAAAACACTATAGTAACCTAATCCAAAGCATTACTCAGTTAAGGTAACGTAATATGATTACTTTCTGTTACTTCTGGATTACTTGTACTTTTAAAGTCGTATATTAAATAAAAAACAGTACTTTTTCTTCAAGAATTTGACTATTCAAATAAGCTGTGATGCAGAACTTCAGAGAGGACAGGATTTAAGCAGCTGATATTGAGCCTCACACAAACGTCTCTTCTGTCACATTTAGTGAAGTTTGAATTTAGATGTGTCAGCATGAGCAAAAGGTGACAATCTCAGAGATCAAGGCTTCTTCAGCTCCTCTGAACAATGATTTGAAGAGGAAAAGAACTGATGCTCTGTAACTGAAACTGATCCAGTCCATTGAGTTCAACATCCATTCAAAAGCAGTGTAGTTAAATCTACACTGCTCTTCTGGCTAATGTTAGCTCACTCCATGTTACAGTCTGGCAGCTTAACGTAGGAAAAAGTTTGATTGACAGATAGAAAAACTATAGAAAACTAGAATAAAAGAGCTGCCTTCAACTTTACGTTATGTAAACCAGAGTAAACGCCTGATTCAGATATATTATCTCAGTTCTGTGAATGAAAATGAAACAGTTTCTATATTTCTACAGATTCCTACCATCAGGACTCAACTCCCTTCTTCCCAAAATAAAAACAAACATACACAATTTATGTGACAGATTTCTGAATTAAAAAGGCCAAATTTGACAGCAGACGATGAGTTTGTGTTTAATCCTGCTGGTAATCAGCCTGTTTTTATACTGTGATTAGATTACTGTCTTTTTTACTGGGACTGTAATGGATTACAGTTACCTTTCTTTGGATCCCGACTGTGTAAAGCCGTTACATGTATTCTGTCACTACCCAACCCTGAATACAGTAGAGAGTAAAATAGACGGTGTGCAGTTTCAGAACATTAACAGGAGTTGATTTAATGCTGGAGATGTGAATCTGAAGGTCATTTTCCTGTGAAAACTCCAACAGGAGACGAGCAGCAGTGACCAGCAGAGAGAGAGAGGAGAGCAGTGGAGAGGTGAGTTTTAATGAGGGAGTTATTTGGATCCAGTCAACATGATTTCCACAACCGATTAATTGATTAACTGGAAAAAGAAACATGCAGCCAGTAATCAGTAACTAACGTATTCCACATCACACACAGTGGGCCTTATTCATCAGGCTACATACGGTTAAATCTGAACGTGCAAATTTAACTGACAAGTTTGTGATTCATCAGTTTCATCTTTTCCATATCTGTACAATCAAACTCACATCTGGTAAGAGTGTATAAAACTTTGTTTAACAGCCTACAACAGAAACAATTAGAAAATAACAGTAATACTAGTAATTTGTGCACTTGGCTATCCAGTACAGAAGTGTCTGGACTTATATTCAGGCACATTGGTATAAACAAATGCTGCGACTATTATATTATCAATTAAAGACAGTTTGCACTCTGCTTATGTTTTACACCTCTGACACTGACACTGTGAAAGTTTCATGAATCAGACACAGAGCAGTCAAACATCATTTAAATCTGTCAAAGCTGCACTGTTTTTAGTACAACTTGGTACAGCTTTAAAAAAACAGAGATTATTCCTCATTTTGCACAACATTATTTCAAACACAAAACACCTGCCCGATCCTCTACAGCATAGTATTATCAGGACCGCTACTACCAGACACTACTTCCCACATTCTGAAAGAGTATGAAGGTAAATTAAGAGCTTCACACTGTTATTAACTTAATTAGTTTGTGTGGTTGGTAACACTATGTAATCAAACCTGATACCACAAAGGCAGATCGATTATCAGCTCCGTGTTCAGTGAGCTAAAGCAGCGCTGTCTTACAGACGGGAAGCTCAAACACAGAGAGAGAAAGTTTGCTTTAAAAGGACTCTTTACCGTGAGGACGAGCCGGTCTGTGAGCTTCAGCCTTCTAGAATAAACCACCATGCTGAGCTTTTCTGTCCTGAACGTGTTTCTCTGGATCTTCACTCAGGACAGCTGTGCTGCTGTCACAGGTCAGCCCAGTTTCACACGTCTAACAGGAAACCGTCTTTTTAAATGATGTTGTAGTGAAGTGTCCCCATATTTCTGACTGGAGATCCTGTACTAAAGTCTCCATCTTCTGTTTTCCCTCTTTTATTTTAGTGATGTAAACGAGGAGCGCAAACATCATCGAGCCATCTAATTAGGAACCAGATTCACTGGCAACTATTTTCTATTATAGACGTTATCGATATTGATGTCAGTGCATGATGTCACTGTTTGTCACATACAGGCTGCTTAAAATTTCAGCACCAGAGCTTAAAACTCTTCCTGTATCCCTGAATGAGCATCTCTGACTGATCCTTATAAACTGAAGCTGTTTCTCCTCGTCTCTCTAAAAGGCTCCAAAGTCTGGAGACGACACTTACTCAGCTCTGAACCCCAACACCACGTCCTCCGACTACGACACTCTGACTGTAAGTCTGGAGTGTTTGTGTGACTGAGTATTATTGTGGTTAATGTATTTAATTCATACGTATTTTTAATATTCTTTTATTCTACAGCATGTTAGAGACTCTCCCAGTGACACATACTCAGCTCTGAACCCCAAAAGCATGTCCTCTGATTACGACACTCTCACTGTAAGTCTGGAGTGTTTCTATAATTGAGTATTATTATGGTTATTAGTGTATTTAGTTTTGTAAGTATTTTCCAGCGTGTTATTCATGTTAGATACTGTTCTAGGGTCAAGCATTAAAGATACACTCCAGCAGAAAATAACTGAATGACACATGAAATCATTCCAATGTTCAGCAGTGCAGCATGAGGTAAAGAGTAATATTTAATATTCGTAACTCGTGAAGTGGACAGTGTTCTAAACCCAGAGAAATGGCCGCCATGTAGAAAGCGGCAGTCACTGTAGTGTTGGAGATTTTTTTGGTTCTCCTGATCTAGAACATCAGGAGAGAGTTTATTTCAGCATACAGGAGCCTGTACTGTACGAGTTTGAGCCTGTGGAGCACAGAGTTCAGGAGAGAGTTTGACTGCTAATCTTAGTTTTATTTCTGCTGTGAAGCAGGAATAAATTCAAACAGATCTGCCAGTCGTGTGTTGTTACATTGTTTAATGCCGCAACTTCATAATTCATTTTCAAGTAGCCTTGCATTGTCAGATTAGCCTATCACTCATTTCTGCTAGCTTCTCTATGGATCTCTATGAATTTGTAGTGTTGTTGGCGCCGATCTAGCAATGTTGTATAATCACATCTGATGCCAATTCTAGCTTAAACACTGGCAGATGAAGTTTAAAACAGACATAAAACCATATTTTTATTATGTGTACAGTTTTAGTGTGACTTCTGGAATGATCTGGATTTGAAGCTTGTTTCTCAGTATGAATAAGCCTGTTAGCCTATTAGCTACCTGCTAACATCATCTGGAAGGATATAGTTCAGTTATGGAGAATATAAAGTGACATAAGCTCAGAAAAAGTGCTTCAGAGCAGAAACAGTCAAATGCAGACATTACGCTCCAATTTACTAATAACTGCATGAAGTTGAACATTTAGACCCTTAAGCAGTTTCTGAAATCCATACTTCATCTAACAGAACGTCACACATGATACACTGGAGCTCAGCTTCAACAGAACCTGGTGTAATGAGTGTGTACGCCTGGTGTCAGTTCACGTTTGGGAAGAAGATCCTACAGAGTGAATCTGCAGACTGTAGTGATTAAATTGACTGATGACAAAAAGATCTTTACCAGGTTGGCAAGAGAAAATATTTATAACTATACAGCACTGAGCTGAAGTCTGAGAGAAGAGACGGGTTTAGATGTTTGATTTGAATATATAAAGAGAATTAGACGGCTGGACTTGTGGAGGAAGAGAGTTCCAGAGACGAGGAGCAGAACTAGGGAATGTTGGAAGCTGTGAAGGTTGGATGGAGGAATGTTCAGTAAATCAGCTGAAGAAGAGCAGAGAGAACAGCTGGGTTTACAGTGAAGGAGGAGATCAGACAGTAAGAAGGAGGGAGGTCGGTCAGAGCTTTGAAGTGAAGGCGGTGCTTTACAGGAAGCCAGTGGAGATCATGGAGAACAGCTGTAATGTGGTTATGAGAGCGAGGATGAGTGAAAGACGAGAGTTCTTGTGAAGGGAAGAAGAGCTGATTCTGCAGGTAGAGAGTTACAGTAGTCTGAACCACTGAAGATGAAATCATGTAGAAAAGACATTAGAATTTTATTAGAAACTGAAGATCAGATTTGACTGAAATGCCCGTCACTGATTCTGACAGTCAGCCTGCAGAGAGTGTTCAGTTCTGTACGCTTCTGTTTTCATCCTCAGCCTGTTAGAGACTCTCCCAGTGACACGTACTCAGCCCTGAACCCTGAAACCAGGACGTCTGATTACGACACTCTGACTGTAAGTCTGCACTCTGTGTACCTTCATTCTCTGGTTGAGCTTCATAACAGTTCCTAAGATCTCCTGTTTTTCAGGTTGTCCGTCCTCACCCAGTGATGAGAAGAGCTCCAGAGAACGAGAACTAACAGCTGTGTTCATTTACTCTTCATTCACCACTGTAGCTTCAGCTCTATGGACAGAACATTAAAGAGGCGTACGGAGGATTTCTGAGGATTAAAGAGCTTTTAGAGCTCAAAACACATCAGATGATTCCTAAAGTCAGAGTGATTCTCTCAGATCAGTCAGAGGAGCTTCTGTTTATGAAGGGTCTTTATTCACTGTTGTGCTTTTATACACCATGATGATTCAGACACGGACCAGAATCAGACAGTTCTGATCACTCAGGATGAACAGAGTTAAGATTATATGAATCCTGTTTGATTAAAAATGTAATTCTGAACAATCTGGTTTATTTATATCTTTTTTTACAGGTTTGCTTGTATTAAATCACTTTTTTGCATTTGTTTTATTATTTTATTTAACTAGATCCTCATAAACTCTTCTATAGCTGTGCTGTACTGTCATTATTCTAAATGTGTGACTAAAAATAGATTATTAATAAAGTTTTGAAGCAGGTATTGTCTTCTGTTTAATGGCCATATAGTGTCTGTGTATATGTATATTTTATGTGTAAGTGTCTTAATGCACAGATCACAGGACTTAATAAGGCAATAATAACAGAATCTATCAGGAGTGGCGTCACATCTTTAAAATTGGGGGCAAAACTTGTTTAAAAACTTGGCTGGCTGAGTGAAAAACTGCAGCTTGGCCACTGAGTGAGTAACTAAAACTACCTTTCATGTCTTGCTAATAACACGTCTCTGTAAACATATTCATATTTGTGATGTTGTATCTTTTCATTTAGTTTGATTTGCTTCACATCTCAACAGCTAAAGTAATTACACTCTGAGTATTGTGTGTATTCTGTTACTGTCAAATTTACCACCATACAAAATAGAAAAGAGACACTTAACATCTATTATAGCATATATATATATATATATATATATATATATATATATATATATATATAATAATAATAACACAGAATTCTTTTAGAAAAATAATCACACCATGTCATTTTCCCCATAATTACACCATTCCTACTGTCTGAAATGTGAAAATGAGACGCTTTATTATTTTCGCTAACTCCGGATACACTCGTCTCTCTGGATGGCTTTCACCTCGTACGGGCGGACAGGACAGCGGAGAGCGGTAAGAGGAAAGGAGGAGGACTGGCAGTATTTGTGAATGATAGATGGTGTAATTCTGGACACATCTCTATTAAAGAGCAAATCTGCTGTAAGGACATTGAACTGTTAGCCGTTAGCATGAGGCCATACTACTTGCCACGTGAATTCTCGCATGCTATCACGATAGCTGCGTACGTTCCTCCGTCTGCTAACGCTGATGCTGCCTGTGACGTCCTGCACTCAGCTGTGAGCAGGATTCTGACCCAGCACCCACAGGCCCTCCTCCTGATCTCTGGGGACTTTAACCATTCTTCTCCATCCTCAACACTGTCTACCTTCACCCAGTATGTCACCTCCCACACCAGAGACAATAAAATACTGGACTTGTTTTATGCCAATACAAAGGAGGCATATAACTCCCTACCCCTCCCTCCCCTGGGAAGATCAGATCACAACCTGGTTCATCTTCTGCCTGTGTACAAATCACTTGTACACAGAGAACCAACCATCACCCGCACAGTGAAGAAATGGACTGCAGAGTCTGAAGAGGCTTTGAAAGACTGTTTCAGCGCAACACTGTGGGAGGAGATGTGTGATCCTTATGCGGAAGATATTGATGGCCTCACACACTTCATAACAGACTATGTCAACTTCTGTGTGGAGAATACCGTACCCACCAAGACCATTCGGTGTTTCTCCAACAACAAACCCTGGATTAATCCTGATATAAAGGCCCTCCTGAAAGAGAAGAAGAGGGCTTTTAAATCAGGTGACAAGGAGGAGATGAGATCTGTGCAGAGGGAGCTGAGAAGGAAGATCCGGGAGGGGAAAGCCAGCTACAGGAGAAAGATGGAGGCCCAGCTGCAGCAGAATAATGTCAGTGGAGTCTGGAATAGCCTCAAAACTATTTCTGGACTCAAGAAGCCCGACTCCCGGGCTGTGGGGGACCACAAGTGGGTGAATGAACTCAATCTATTCTTTAATAGGTTTGATCACTCGCCTGCTCCCCCCACCACAGGCACATCACTGCTGAATTCTCCCTGTCTGGCACTACCAGCATTTGGCCCTCCCCCCTCTCCTGCACCCACCCCCCTTCATCTCAACACACAGCCACCATCAGACGGCTCTCCTGCTGACATACATCCCAGCACTGTTCTCCCTTACTCCAGCCTCACATTCACATCATCCCAGGTGAGAAGTGAGCTCAGGAGGATGAAGATCAGGAAGGCTGCAGGTCCAGATGCCATCAGCTCAAGGCTTCTCAAGACCTGTGCGAATGAGCTGTGTGACGTGGTCGGGTACATCTTTAACCTCAGCTTGAGGTTAGGGAAAGTCCCACAGCTGTGGAAAACATCCTGTGTGGTGCCAGTGCCAAAGACCCCACACCCCAAAGACCTCAACAGCTATAGGCCGGTGGCGCTGACATCTCACCTGATGAAGACCCTGGAGAGACTGCTTCTTGTCCACCTGCGCCCCCTGGTGAGCTCTTCAATGGACCCACTGCAGTTTGCCTACCAACCTGGCATTGGAGTGGAGGATGCCATCATCCACCTCCTACACAGCTCTCTCTCTCACCTGGAGAATGCTGGGAGCACTGTGAGAATCATGTTTTTTGATTTCTCCAGTGCTTTCAATACCATCAAACCCACACTGCTGAAGGACAAGCTGGAGTGCACGGGCCTGGACCATCACCTCACCACCTGGATCCTGGACTACCTCACTAACCGACCGCAATATGTGAGGACCCAGGGCTGTCAGTCGGACACGGTGGTCTGCAGCACGGGGGCTCCACAGGGAACTGTCCTCGCTCCCTTTCTCTTCACCCTCTACGCTGCGGACTTCAAGTACAGCTCTGCCAGTTGTCACCTGCAAAAGTTCTCTGACGACTCTGCTATCGTCGGCCTCATCACAGACGGAGATGACAGGGAGTACAGAGAACTGACGCAGGACTTTGTGGAATGGTGCCAGAGGAACTGCCTGCAGATCAACGCAGGAAAAACCAAGGAGCTGGTGGTGGACTTCCGCAAGTCCAAACATTCTCCTCCAGTGCCTGTGAACATCCAGGGAATGGACATTGAGATTGTGAAGTCCTATAAGTACCTGGGTGTTCACCTCAACAACAAGCTGGACTGGACTGACAACACAGCTGCCCTCTACAGGAAAGGCCAGAGCAGGCTACATCTCCTGAGGAGACTCAGGTCCTTTGGCGTGCAGGGGGCACTTCTCAGGACCTTCTTTGACGCTGTGGTGGCATCAGCCATTTTTTATGGAGTGGTGTGCTGGGGCAGCAGCATCTCCATTGCTGACAGGAAGAGACTGAATAAGATCATCAGGAAGTCCAGCTCTGTCCTGGGATGTCCTCTTGACCCAGTGGAGGTGGTGGGGGACAGGAGAATGAGGACTAAGCTAACAAACATGCTGAAGAACCTGTCCCACCCCATGCACCGCTCTCTGACAGCACTGAGCAGCTCCTTCAGTGCCCGGCTGCGGCACCCGCGGTGCGTGAAGGAGAGATACCACAGGTCCTTCCTCCCAGCCGCTGTCAGACTCTATAACAGTCACGGCACTCAGTAGACAGTAGTTTACAATTACTTTCCATGTGCAAGAACTCTCAACATCACTGCCACAGCACTTTACTGTGTGCAACATCTCAATCCACCATGCGTAGTATATTCACTGCGGATCACTGTCAATATGTTTACCACCATTATGTGCAATTATGTCAAGTGCAATATTTCTCCATTTATTACTGTTTATTTATTTGCTATTTTATTCACTGTGCAATACTCACTACAATACATACATTTCTACATTTCTAAATTTAAGTTTAATACTTTGTATATTTTTCTTGTAATTTTTGTACATATACATATATCTTTATATTTTTATTGTTTATTCTATTTTATATATTGTTTGTATATTTCCTGCTGCTCTGTCTTCTGTGCTGCTGTAACACCGCAAATTTCCCCGTTGTGGGATTAATAAAGGATTATCTTATCTTATCTTATCTTATCTTTTCACATTTCATTCCTTTCAGTTGTTAATCTGAACCAGATAAAGCAGTTTGAGCTCCTTCCAGTAGGGGGCGCAGTGCACCACCTATTCCCCCCAAACTCCTCCTGTGTAGAAGACCAGCTGAAGTGTAGGTCACTGTTCTCAGCCACTCTTCCTGTAACTGCAGTGACCTTCACTGTTTCAGCCTCTCATCACTGGATACTGTCAGTTATTCAGTCTCTCTCTCTGTCAGTCAGTAATTAAAGAGACTGTCAGCTCCGTTACAGACACTCAACATCAGAAATGATCCTACAGATTTAGGACTTGATGATCTTTAACCAAAGAGAGATTTAAAACTGAATTTAATCCACAATTCAAATGGAGTTAAAAGCTAGAAAAGCTCATCTTTCCTGCCTGATCAGGACTGTGTGGGCGTGTCTGACCTCACGCTGATTGACAGCAGCATAAAGCAGCATAAACAACCAACAGCAGCAGCAGATTTTTACACTTTTAAAGCTTTTATTTTCTGGACTTTTAAAAATCTGTCCTAATTCTGATTGGTACGAGGAGAAACTGGACATCAGCCTCTTCAACATACTGCCCACCTCAAAGCCAACAGAGGAAACACAACAGTGCAGGAATCTGTCAATCAAAATGTGCCGCATTGTTCTTTATTTGACAGTTAATAGTGAATTCATGCAGGAGCCAATCAGAGCTAGAAGCACCAACAGATTAAGGAAATAATCAGACAGTCGCTTTAAATCAGTCTGAGTTACTCAGTAATACTGACACTCAGTGTTACAGCCAGTAATGCAGTCAGACTGGAGTGCAGGCAGTTCAAATGGGTGCTTTAGCTCCGCCCCCAGCGAGATATTTCATCTTTAGCTCCGCCCCCAGCAAAATATTTAATCTTTAGCTGTGCCTCATCATCAGTTTCTCCGTTAAGCTCCGCCTCCTCATCACTTTTCCCAGTTTAGCCCCGCCTCCTCATCGGTTTTCCCCATTTGGCCCCACCCATTCATCAGTTTCCTCCATTTAGCCCCACCTCTTCATCAGTCCCCCCCTACGCCTCCTCATCAGCCGAGATAGACCACTGTAGTCGTACGTCACTCTGTAGTCCTCGTTATGCCCACATTAGGAACTCCGGGTCTGAGCTCCATTCCTCTAT